CTCACAGGGCATCAACCATGATGGGCTCCACAGGTGCCTGCAGGCCTTTGCTTAATCAGGGCATCATAACTTTGGTGTTTTACCCTCAGTGGCATTGTCTCCTTGGCCTTCCTTCACTGTTTTGGACACCCTTTAGCATATACCATCTCAGGTTAGGTCATCAAGGCTTCAGGAGGATCTGGATCACCCTCGAGGGGTTTTACCACCTATGGGACTAAACCCCCTTCAGCATACCTCCAGGTAATACCCACAACCAATGTCCAAACCAGAATCATTTAACTGATGGCTTCACCAGCCAGGCCCTTCCCAGGTATGCTTGCGTTTTTGGGGCTTGGCACCCAGCAAATTTTCTTATTTATTTATTTTTTCTTCAGGGGCTTTTAACATGGGTTTCCTTTCCTTTGTCCACAAGGCCTGGATATCCCTGTACGCCCACTATCCTGGTTGCATGTAACATGAAGAATGCCTTTGGAGTGTCAGTGTCCCCCAAAAGAGTGGACCTTTCCAGTCTTATTGTGTGTTCTTTGTACAGCATGTTCAGATAACAAATTGTGCTGTTCATCTAAACATCCATCCGCCTACATTTCATCTGTGAAACCACTCGGCAGATTTTGACATTGGAGAGTCGAAGCTAAAAGTTGCCTACCAAGTTTTAATTTTTGTCTTCTTACTTTTATACATAGAATGTGTGTGTGTGTGTTACACAGATTACTTCTGAAGTTAATGAGATGTTTCGCTTAATTAAAGTTTAAAATTCTGTTTACCAGAGCTGCGATTGAGTCCAGTACAAATCCAACATTCTCCAAGTTTTTACCATGCGTCCAGCCAAGATGACAGTGGGAAGGTAAGTGAAAATTTTATTTGTTGTTACCATGTAAAGGATTTAAAACAAATGTATGAAGTTTGTGACCACCACTTTCTCCAGATCCAGTAATTCCCATATTAGTTATTTCATTTTTGAATTAATTTCCTGCTGCCTTTTTAAGAAACATCGCAGTTATTACCTTTCCAGATCATCGTTATGTCTTTAAGGTGTTATTACCAGATTAGGTGTATTTGTGGAACCAGTAAGTCATTGATATTTCTTCTTTGCATATAAAATCCCTACCCTTAAACATTATTTTCTTGTTTTTTAATTTTTTATCTGATTTTGTGCTGAATAGTTGTGACTGCAAAAATAATTTTGTAGATTGGAGTATTGTGGATGATTTGGATTTAACGCATGTCAATTGTTGTGGTAATATAAATTGTCTTCGCACAGTTCTACTATAAAGGAAAGCCGCTTTTCTGTTCAGAGTGAGAGTCCGTCTCGCAAGCGGCGGCGAGTATCGCGGGGAGGCCACCACCAAATCTTGGAACTGTCTGCTCCAAATACTACGCCACCCCCACACCCACGTAGTCCTTGGGACCATGCAGTGACCAGTCACAGACGATCGCCTCGGCACCAGCCTTCCAACCGGAACAGAGGGAGGTGAGAATACAGGACAAGAACTGCTAATAAACTCTTAGAAAATGCGGCAGAGTTCAAGTGTTTAACTTTATAGAATGGGAATAAGAGTTTAAGTCCCAATATTTTGGGTCTACCAGACGAGCTGCAGTTCCGGGGTTAACAGTTTAGCAGAAGTAAGCGCTGTGGTAGATGCTTTCTCATCTCGTCACCCATTGGTCCTTCTGACAGCACGAGTCTTGTGAACATCCTTTCTCCGTTTTTCAGTATTCTTCTGTGAGTGTTCGTGCTGTATTTGTGTCCTTTAACTACTCTCTTTTGTATACCTGCCCTTACTTGATTTCACCATTTTCTTGAACTTCTCAAAGGTGACTTATTCAGTGTCTTAAATTTTATGCTTTCAAAGTGATGCTGTTTTAATTCATATTCAACATTTGTTCATATTGTATCTGTAATATATCTGATTTATGAATTTAATCCTATGATTTGCAAGATTTAAATTGCATTGTTTCAGCCCTCCATTAAGGCGAACACGATACCATGAGTGTGGCCCACTTTGGAATCAGGACGGGTATGCTCTGAACCATTCTCACCACCCAGCAGCAT